GAGAAAGGCTTGATGGGGAGGGGCTCATAGGACAGGTCAAACCCAGCCTGAGTCTGGGAACTAAGTTTAGAAGCTCAAGCTGATAGAACAGATATGCAGAAATGGAGGGACAGAGCAAGGACATGAGTGGGGATGAAGGGACTTGAATGCCGAGCTTCTGGTCCATTGCCGTTTCATTGTAGGAACTTTGTCAAGGTCTGGAAAGACGGTAGCTTTAAAGTAACTTAGGCCAGTGATTTGGGTTGTCGTGGGCATATTAAGGCCAGATATAGAGCTGACCTGAGTCCTTTTTTTTTTCTTTTTTTTTTGGGGGGGGTGCGGTAGCCTATTGTACATGATAAAGGTCTAAACAGCCTGGGGCTATTTTCCTACATGAAGCATCCTTCAGTTTGGAAATGTTACCAAAGCCAAGTTGCCAAAAGTTTCCCAGGCAGGCTTCCTGGAGGGAACTATATAGAAGAGCAAAAGACTACCAGCATCTGGTGTGTGAGATGGAGTTGAAGCCCCAGTGCCCTTATCTGTGGCCACTGTTGTCTGTGTACTCCAGAAATGGCAAAAGTAGCCCTCTTGAGTGCTGGAGGTTAGTATAGAGGCCAAAAAGAGCGAGTCACCATTCCTGCCAGTAGAGTTAAGACAAACTCGCTCTGCTCGCTCGGCCAGTGTTCGAAACTGTGGGTGAAGTCTCTGGGCCCCATACTGGGTGCAGTTCAGACATAGAGAGCTTGGAAGATGCTGTGGTCCTTGGAAGGTTAAGAAAAGATGGGAATGGGAGGTGGAGAAAGACGCCTGGAGAAGAAAAGGCCTCATCTGTCTGGACCCACCGGGAAGCTCTTCCTGGTTCTCATCACCAAATGTAATATAAACTAGAGTTGTAAGTTGGAGGAACAGACAGGTAGACGTCAGAACAGCAGGGCAGGGTTTATTGGTCTACAAGGTTGGTGTCCCCAAACCCTGTGGCTCTTCTCTGTGCCCAAGGATACAGAGACCATTCCCTGCGGGGTCTGAGGAGTTTTTGTAGTTTCTGAAGCTGCAGGGTTTGGTATCAGGCCCATGAGCTGCTCTTGGAAATTACGGGGTCAGAGATGAGTCAGTTGCCTACTCTTACTTCCTCAGGGCTCCAAGCTGTGTGATGGGGATTGCCTAAGTCCCAGAATTCCATGGGCATGGGCATGGGCATGGGCAGGGAGCAGGTTTCTTGAAGCCTTGGGCCTGTCTTAAGGCTCTGGTTTTGGGGTGTGGATTTCCTTTAAGACTGAGAGACAAATGTGTCTCCTTGGAGTATTTTTATTTCTTCCGGGCCCATTGCAAGCCCAGCACTGAGTTTTCTCAGTGTTTACAAAGCTATAATCAAACGCACTCTGACTTTAGATTTCATTAAAATAATATAATAGAAATTACAGACAAGAAATAAAGAAGACATTGACACCTGGGCTGTACGTTCTCTTTCTGGACAGTGTGTGCTCTCTCCATTCTTTCCCTGCAGAGAAGATCTTTAAACATGATCAAAAGTCAAACGGACTGCTTAGTAAATTATCCGTTCTGTTGGCATACACTTTGGAGGGCAGGGTAAGATTATGTTGGATGTGGTTCTCTATCTGGTTGATTTACAATCACTGGAAAAACTGCCCGGGCTCAAAAGGGGAAAGGCCAGAAATACAAATGAATTTCTTTTATACAAGTTGAGAAAAACAAAACAAAAACATAGGACATGATGTTCCACTTTTTCTGTTTTTTGTTGTTGTTGTTATTTGTTTTTTGACACTCCAGGTGTGATGAGAGAATAGGTATCCAACACATTAGAGAGTTAATCAAAGTTTTTGTTGTGGCTTACAGAAAGAAGCGTCTTTGTATTTGATAAGGGGATGGCTTTTGAGTACTGTAGGTGCTTTCTTTCTTCTCCTTTATGGGAGCATCACATAAAGACAGATCAAAGCACCTTCCTCCCGGATCTGTATCCTGCCCCCTTTCTCAACTAATGGAGTTAAAAGTGTCTTCCACTTGGGGTGTGAGGCTCATGTGACTTTAGAAATGACATCTTACTGTATTGGTAACAAATAAAGCCTTTCCCATAGGTGCTTATGGAAAACCATATTTAATATGAATTAAATAGAAACCAGCCCAAAAGGTCCAAGTGGGAGAGCCTGGCAGGTGCAGCTCCCCCTCCCATCTGTATTTTATTCATCAGCTCTGATTGACAGCCGGAAATTAGCACTTGAGCATGAATGCCGCAAGCTCTGTAGATGTACTGTATATTCCCTGTTCCTTTGGTCATTAGGATTCAGCGCCCCGTGGCTGACATTTCTTCCCTTCGCAGGGGCCAGGGAGGGCATGTTTGCGAGAATTCCTGCTGTTTTTCTCTTCAAGATAGTGACAAAATGAAATAAGATGGAGCGAAATAGGAGTGGTCCCGGCAGGGCCTGTCTGAGCTGGCGGTCAGGCTGCAGGCAGGGGTTGGTCATTGTCTTGCACTTCTGGGCTCCTGCAGAGAAAAACCTGGCCTGGCTACAGCCACCAATGAAAAGACTGCATTTAGCCATGCGGGGCTTTATGAAGGCGCCAAAGCTTGACATGGTTGCTATAGTTACTGTCTGATTGTGGTAGCTTGTCACAGTGCTTGATAAAGTGGGAAGGTTATCCATGATGGGCCCAAGTAATCAGAACCTTGCGAAGCTTGAGTATATGGATTTAAATTGTTCTTTCCCCCCTCCTGTCTTTAAGCTGGGGGCGCAGGGGTGAGGTTAGAGAATCTACAGCAGCCACAGGGGTTTGCTTTCAGCTATGGAAGCTTGTACTAGTCAGGAAGGAAGGTGTTCATATGTCTCGAGGGCCAACAGAAATGAGGGTCATGCTCCTGGCCACCACTGTCATGGCTGGCATGATTGTGGCTTTGAGAGGGGCTGCAAAGACCCTTCCCTGGCCCGTCCTGTAATCGATTAGGTCATGTCTTCCTGTACTGATTTTCCATTCTCTCCTTTGTCCTTTCCTCCTGCCAGTCTCCTGCCACGGGCAGCTTTCTCAGCTACAGCAGGTCCTTACAAAGCCGTCTACCTTTCTTCTGTGGATGATAAGAAAGTTGAACTGAAAATGAAAAAGAAAATGAAAAAGCTGGTGGATTCTGGCTTCGAAAGTATAGACACTTATTTTCTTTCTTCTTCAGAAGTGACCCAAATATTTGTTTAGGTGGCAGTCTCATGCCCATTAACACAGCGACTATGGTGCCTCTTTATAAATTCTGGCATGCTCCCAAGTCCTAGCTCTCAGCAGGACAAGGTCTGACAACCTGCATTCTCACCACCCCCCAGTTCACAACTGAGGTCTGTACCACAGGTGACTGACCAAGGTCTGAGAGCCACAGCATTGCCTGAACTTTACAGTTTAGAACATCACGGATGGATCAATTACCAGGGACGCAGGTGACTTGGTAGCCAGGGTGGGGCTGGTGCCCAGTTCGAGGAACCTTCAAAATGATTTTATTTCCTCAGCCTCTCTCCCAGTTTCCTAGTCCAAGGCAGTCAGATCCACCAGCAGGATCCCTAAACTTCCCACAGGGAGGCCTTTCATCTTCTCCTCTATCTTAGAGAACACATCTCCAAGTGAAGCCCACATTGGTATTGTGTACCTGTCCCGGCGTACATAGACCTGGACCGATGTTCCTTGCTTTCCTTCTGACACTTGGTTACTGTGGCCTACCAGCAGGCCAGTGCACACTTTGCTTGCATGTGTGTTGAGTGCTGTGAGCTCTGGAGGCAGGAATGAACCTCAGTTCACCTTCCTCTGCGCACAGCTTCCAAGTAATGAGGGGAATGGATCTAAGGGGGTTCTGCTGATTCAAGAATCATAACTCTCATCTTAAAGGAAATAGGGATAATTTGTTCTGGAGCCATTTTGAGTGGCCATGACCTTGTAATACAGATTTAGTTTATCCAAAATTTCAGCTTTCAGCATAGAGTAGTTTCACGAAGTCTTACAGTTTCACAGAACAAAGATCATAAATCAAAGCAAGTTTAGAACAGATTGGTGGGGACACGAGAAGTGTCAGGGCAGATAAACAGAGCTGCTCTATATAGCCCACGATGCTATCTGATGATGTCTTTAACTCTTGGGCTGGTAGAAGAGAGTGGTCTACTGAGTTAATAGATGGCAAAAGGTTTCTATTTGTTTATCACAGAGATGGGCAAGGAATGGCAGTTCCCGAGAACTAGAACTAACCCAAGATGCGGTAATTAGTCCCTAGACCTGCATCATCTCAACCTGTCTACGGTACTAGAGTTCTGATCTGCCAGTCATCCTCCGCAGACATAGCTTTCTTTCAGGGGGTTTGTTCACAGTACTAAGGTTGAAGGAGCCTGGATAGACACCATTTTCCTAAGCCACTTAATTGAGAGGGAGAGGCCAGTGTATACCCAGGACAGGGTGGGAACCCTACTTTTATTCTTGTGCTGAGCCCAGAGTTAGAAACAGGACCTGTGACGTCAAGATGTCCCTAAGATGATTCCCAGTGCCTTTGCCTTATGTTAGGGGTATGTACTCTGTGTGCCAGGGGGCTTTACTTTCGAAGTGTAAAAGCACAACTATAATTTGTTTACCCCTGAGAAACAGGGCTCAGAAACCAACATGACTGCTCTGTGTGTCACAGAACTACATGGATGCAAATAACTCGATCAGTTGTTAAATGAAATCGAATTCCCCAGGATGCCAGAGCATCTCTGCTAACATATGCTAGGTTTGGGGAGAGGTCGCTGTGCTTCTTCAGTGAAACTCACTGGAGACCATCTATCCAGACAAAAATAACACAAAATTAATCAGTTCCTCTTTGGGCTCTAATTTCCTTACCAACTGCATAGCCCAAGTTGGCCTAGGAAGAAATTGTTTGACTCGAAGTTCTCAAGTCTTCAGCTCACATCCTCACAGACCCCCTACTCTGCTTGGTTTGGTTGGATCAGTGGGAGGAACGATCCCTGTGGTGGTACAACAGTGCTCACGGTGCCCTTCCCCCACAGGGTGCCGAGGTGCAGACAGACTACATGCCCCTGCTGAACTCACTGGCGGCCTACGGATGGCAGCTCACCTGTGTGCTGCCAACTCCCATACTCAAGACTACAAGGTAACAAGAATGGAGACTGATGATTACTGCCATTGTCCCTGATACCAGGATAATCTCTGTGCAGCATGCCTGTGGGCTGGCACTGAACCTCTCTGCCTTGGCTTCCACCGCCAGGGTTTCACTTACCTCCCTCTTTCTCCTTGCTCACACGGAAGAGCCTTAGCTAGTGACTCAGGGTTGCCCTGGGAGACTGAGATTAGCCACCTGGGCTGGCGGGACACTGCACCAACAGATGTCAAAGCAGTTCAGTGCATACTCTGGGCTCTGGGCTTGGTAATATTGTGTATATAGAACTTCAAGTAAGAGGGGAGGGAGGGAGTCAGAAAGAAGAGGGGAAAAAGAGGAAGAGAGAGAGGGAAAGACAGAGGGATAGAGAAAGAGAGAGAATCTGAGAGACTGAGATCAAGACCTGTAAGGTAGATTTTCACCTTTGAGATAGGATCTTATTCTGTCCCAGGCTGGCCTTGACCCTGTGACCCTATACTCCTCCAGCCTCAGCCTCCTAGACGATAGATATGAGCCACCATACACAGTTGATCTTTTAATATTATCATTTAATTCCATTTTCAGTCAATGAAAGTGTACCCTGGGATAATAAGGGATTTGCCCAAGATCACAATGCTATGCCCCCATGAGGCGGATATGCATCCCCAGAGTCTTAGGCCTGACTTATGGGATTCTTTACAAGTTCAGGTTCATGGGTGCTTTCCCCTTGTCCTTGAGCCTTGTCATGCAAACCCTAAAAGACCTCCCATCTATCTTTTGGCTCCTCCTGACTTTCCTTGGGTATTTAATTATAGCTGCAGTTCCCATTTCACGGGTGAAAAGTGAAGGTCAGTGAAGTCTGTTACCACAGCCCAGGAGTTAAGCTCCCAGGGCTGCACCCAGAGCAGCAAAAAGAATGTCTTCAGAGCAGCGAGAACCTAGGAAAGTTTCTAGAAAGCTAGAAACATGCGCTTTCTGATGGTAACCTAAGAAAGAAGGAACAAGCACACACTTTCCTGATGGTAACCTTCTCTCAACTGAAGAAATCCCTTTCTGAAAACCTCTGTCCACAGAGCTACATCTCTTTACAGACAGCTACATAACACTTCTCTCTGCGTCTCTCAGACGTCTCCATCTGCACACTCAGAACATCTCCCCTTCAGTATATGTGCACACACACGCACGCAGGCGTGCACACACACACACACACACACACACACACACACACCTCTCACATTCTCTCCTACTTCCCCTGCAGCAAAGCCTCTGGACAAGTATGAATCACATTTTCGGGGTCACACAGCACTTCTTGAGTAAACAATAAGAAACAGAGCCAAAATGAGCCCACAGTTTCCCTCAGGGTGGGGAGGTCGCGCTGAGCAGGCGTGATGAGTAAAGTAAGCACTAGCTCTGCAGTCAGGATCCCCAGACAGGGAATGACACTGGAATTCAGGACTAGCACAACGAACAGTTAGCTGGCTCAGCCTTGAGGTTGGGAGAACGTGCAGAAAGTCCATTGCTGACAAAGTTAGGACCTTGAATCAGCAATGAACACCTGGGAGATTGTCCTTGTGTATTCGTCTCCAGGGGCAACCAGTTTGCTTTGAATTTGATCTGAAGTCTAAATTATCTGTCTTTGTGACCGAGAATACTATTACTTTTCTATGTCAGAGTGAGTAATGAAAATATCCTAGTATTATTTCTATTCATCAGACTTTTACAGGTAAAGCAGGAATCATCTTCCTGGCCATCCACAGCTCAGCTATGTGTGCCCATAGATAGAATATATGCATGGGATAAACACACAAGCAGTGGGAAAATACCCATAGCTGTTTTTAGTGGCACATGAGAAAAATTACAGAGAGAGACAAAGTTATACGTAGGCAATGGTCTTGAAAGCCTTGCTTCACGAAATTCTCTCCATCAGATCTAGTTGTTCAACTAGTGGGTCAACCTTATGGATATTGATTGTTGTCTACAGTATATTCTCAGTGGCCTGAGAGAAATCCTGTCTTGTAAAACAGGCGCGGGGAGGGAGAAGGAAAACAAGGGGCTAGAGAGATAACTCAGTGGTTAAAAGCACTGACTACTCTTCCAGAGGACCCAGTTCAATTCCGAGCACTCACATGGAGGCCCACAACTGTCTGTAACTCCAGTTCCAGGGATCTGACACCCTTGCACAGACATTCGTGCAGGCAAAACACCAGTGCACATAAAATAAAATAAGGCAATCAATGGGTGGAGGTGGAGAAACTAGTCACCTTAGTATTTCTGTCAAAGGGACGGCATAATGTCCTGCCTCCTCTGACTTACAGCATAGGAGCTATTTAGTACCCATTCCATCAGTGTGGGTTAGACTTGACTACTGTGTGCCACCTCAGTGCTGGCCTGACACTCCTGACATCAGCACGCCTATAGGAGCTACACAGTAGCCGAGCATGTTTATCAGCGCTCCCTCTACCCCCTTCTTGTCACACTGGAGGGCTAAGCTCACTACCCATCCTTATTCTCCTGCTGAGCCATACCATAAGTACCAAAGACAGACTTGAAAGACTCTTTTCCTATTGAGACTCCTTAAGCACTAATGTACCCTCACTTAGCCAAGGCGCCAGCTGCTGCTGTCCATCAAGGGTAGGGGAATTTGTAGCCAGGATTCAGGGATAGCCAGGCAGCATTGGTTGGTGTCTAAGGTAGCCCTTGGCTTGGGGTGGGAAAGTAGAGAAGGGGTACTCTGACTTTCCTGTCTGGCAGCATCCTTCCTTCACTTAAAGGAAGTTCAGGATTGCACCGTAGGGATGAGGCTCTATCTGCAGGAGACCCATGCTCATCCTCACATCCTGTGTTGTAGGGAGGGGAACGTGTCCACCAAGCAGATTGTGTTTCTTCAGAGACCATGTCTACCTCAGAAAACCAAGAAGAGGGAATCAAAGGTAAGACTTCTTTACCCCGCCCTCCCTTTTTCCTGGTTTTACTGCTGAGCATCTCTGCTTCAGATGGGTCTATGCCAGCTGGTCCTCTCCCAATTCCAAAGGCTCTTGGGGCCCAGGGAAGACACTGGTCCACATTGAATCATAGCAGAGGATGCTGAGATGGGTTGTTGAAGAGCTTCTCCTCAGGCTTCCTGCTGGCATGACCATCAGGGCGGATGACAGAGACTCTGGTCACCAGGCAGTGCTAGAGAACCCCACAAGTCTATTATTAGGACCCAAAGTCAGCTACAGTTTGACAGAGGCCTGCGGTGACCTGAGTGCATGGTCAGATGCCCTTCCTGGTCTCAAACAAGCTGTCTGGAGCTCTGGCCTGCAATGTCCCTTAGGACATTGGAGTTTGTTGATCTTGGCCCGGTGAGCTAGTGTGTGTGTGTAATCCCTAAATGGGGATGTGGAGACAGGAAGATGAGTTCAAGGCCAGCCTCTGCTCTGTAGGAGGCCTTGTCTTAAAACTAAGCCAGAAGTAAAGGAACTGCTAATCTCTTCTTGCTAGGACCTGAGTCAGAGGTCTTTGACTGGCAGTTTGTGATGTAGACAGATGCTAACGTAGTCTGTGGCAGTTTGTCCCAGGCCAGTCTGTGCTGAGCTTTGCCAGGCACTCTCCTCCATGCTGGGCTCATGCCTAGCCTGGGCACATCACAGAGGGACACTTTCTGTACTCAGGGTTCTCTTCCTATGCCCTGAAACAGCCTAGCATCTGCTTCTGCTGGGTAATTCTCCTGTGGGCCACAGTTTGGGTCTGTAATGTCCTCAAAAGGTTCGGGTGCTGATGGCTTGGTCTCTACCTGATAGTGCCGTTATGAAATGTAGTTAAATGTTTGCGAGCTGGGGCAGTGGAAGGAAGCTGTCCATGGACAGTATGCTCTTGAAGGGGATGCTGGAGCCCCTGCCCTTCTCCTCTTGGGGGTTCCCTGTCACCATGGGTGAGCAGTCTCCACCCCCACTCTACCTTCATGTGCTGTCTCACCAAAGGCAATAGAATCACCAGACTACAGACCAAATCCTCTGAAACCGTCAGCCAAGCTTTCTTCTTTTAAGGTGACTTTCTCTTGAAGTTCTTCATTTACTTTTGTTCATGCGTAAGTGGGTTTGCCTACACATATCACTTGCTGGTAGTGCTTGTGGAGGCCAGAAGAAGGCTTTGGATCCCATAGATCAGGAGGTTGTAAGCTGCTTGGTGTGGGGGCTGGGAATTGAACCTGGGTCCTCTGCAAGAGCACCAAGTGCTGAGCTGTCTCTCTCTCCAGCCTCCTTGAGGTGACCTTCTTATTTTATTTTATGCAAAAGAATATCGATTATCATGCTATAGGTGTGTTTCTAGCTCCTCAGGAAGAGACTAGCATGTTGAGTGAGTCTATGTCTATTAAAGCCCCAGTTAGTCGCCACTTGGACCTACTGTGCTCTATTTTGATGGCCATGACAACCAAGCTGCCAACCGATTTAGCTCTGCACAGCTGGCACCGTTCCCACAGTCCCCACTCTTTGTCACTAGTGCTCTTCTGACCCAGAGTCCCAGGTAGGAGCATCCCGTCACTGAACAGATTGGAGTTCCCATGACCATCCAACAAACCCTGTGGGTTGCCCATTCATTGAAGGAATGCCAAGATGGTGAGGGCAAGAAGCCAGATGGGCTGGGGTGCAAGGGAAGAAGGCCACTCTCCAGGCTCTGAGATAGGAATGTGACAGGTGACAGCAGAGGTGGACTGGAAACAGCTAGCAGTTACCATTAACCACCAGGAGCAGTCAGTCACCACCTGGAAGATGGATAGCCATGGACTGATATCAGGTAGTGCTCAGTCACAGGCTCTCAGGATGGCACCTGTCACAGAAAGTGACATTCAATAAGCAACATACAGAATTCACTACTAGACATGGAGAGGCTGGACTTTGGCCCCTTGGTGAAAACAGCTCGAGAGCCCCTTGCCTGGTGTCTTCTTGTGGATCACCTAGGCTGTCGCATGAAGACTTTGGCATCCCACAGAGGGGATAAGGCAGTGGTAGCCTGGTTTGAGGGTAGATTTTTTTTTTTTTTTAAGTACAGGTGGAACTCACTTTCTTCAGGGAAAGGATAGAAGTCACTTTTTTCCCAGTCAGTGAGCCAACCCCAATGGCTGGGTCACTGCAGACAGACTGCTCTCCCTTCCCACGTCCTGCAGTACTAACGCCAAGACTAGCAATGTGGGGCTAAGCAATGGGGTTCTAGCAATAAGGGCTCTCCATGAGACCCCGCAGAGAAAGGGTGCGGGCTTCTGGAAAGAGCTGTGTGCACTTGGTGTCTCAGTTTCTGGCCCTGCTGTTCACACCTCAGCTCCTCCACCTGGGTCTGTGTCCCATCCTGACCCTGTCAGCAACTGCATCCAAGTCTTCAGTGCTCCTCATATGACTCCTGTAGGCTGCACTTTGCCTCCTGGTTCCCTCTTACCATGTGTATTAGTTGCTTTCTCGTTGCCGTTGTCAAACCCATGGCAAGAGCACCCCTTTCCCTCCACAGCACCTACAAATCTAGAATGGACACAAGGAAGGTATTAAACAGGCCCTGGGAGCAGGGAAGATGTTTGGAGTCGATCCTGGTGTAGTGGTGTCCGGGGACCTGGGAACTGTTGGGGTTGGAGACAAGAAGTAGAGGAGACTAGAAGGCTCCCAGAGACGGTTTGTTCACCTCCACCCTTTCTGCTTCTTAGTTCCAGTGGCGATTCTCCCGGGAAGAGACCCGCAGCAGGCAGACAAGGAAAACCAAAGGGAAAAACAGCACGAGAGACAAGCAGCAAGCAGAGGAGAATGAGAAGAATCTAGAAGACCAGTTCCCCAAGGCTGGAGATGTGGGGAACTGTGTGCTGGGGACACAGCAATGGGGCAGAGCCTCTGAAGAACAGCAGGGCTTGAGGGCTGTGCAGAATGGTCCTGCTGGCCACAACAGGGACTCGGTGGCCGCCAGACACTCAAATCCCAGCATGGAAGCCGAGCTTGCTGCAGGGCCCACTCCAGCAGAGGCAAATTGAGTCCATGATTTGTGCTAGGCTTGCAATGTGATGGCAAACCTTGGGAAGCTTGCTAGCAGCTGGTTCGTTCTGTGTTACCCTTTGGCTTGACCTATCGTTAGCTCAGCGGGCCCTGCGAGGGCTGGTCTCTGGCAGTATTGTTTTCTGAACAGCCACTGGAAAGCTGTCTTAATGATCCGCTTACGGTAGAGTGCAAGGTTGGACTGTTCCTCCTAGACCTCAGAGTTGGAGGTCCGGTTCCACCCCTTCCCCCAAGGAAGGGCATGGACCATACAGCACCTGGGCTGCCCCACGGGGCTCCAGGGCACATCTGGGTCAACTTCTGGGGCATCTTTGCTACAAACCAAGATTTTTCGCTCACTCTTACATGCTGCTGCTATGGGCAAGTACTTCAGTAACTTTATCCCACAGCTCTTCGGGCTGCCCTTCTCCGCCTGAGCCCTGCAGCTCTGCATACAGCTCCTTCACCTGAACCCTGGAGGCCCTGCCGTTTTGAAAGGTGGTGATGTTGGGGGAGGGAAGGCGTTTAGACAGATACCTCCTGCCTTTCTCAGAGTAGTTCTATAGATACTGCTGATCTGGAAGCAAACAGGCAATTCTCTGTGCTCCTGCTCTTACAGGGTGTTCAGAAAGTATTCTGTGTTAATATTAATGCCAAAAAGTGTTGTTTTAAACTTTGTATTCCACACATCTTTGAATACGTTGTGTCATTTTGGGCGGATGGTAACTGGGTGCCCTTGTGTGCTATTTTTGTTGGTGTGTCAATGACTGAGTTGTATGCTGTGCCTGTCACTTGTTTTTACTGTCCATAAAGTGTGGTTAAGGCTTTAAGTAGACGCATCTGGCGAGCTTGGAGAGAGAACACCATTGTCTCGATGGAAACAGCCTGTCTCGTTCTTGTTTAGTTACTTTAAGCAATAAATCATCTGAGCTCAGTGCGTGGCGTGTTTACCTCGTCACTACAGGTCTGGCCCTCGGGCTCTGGCCGCAGTTTCTGCCTGCTGGCAGTGCGGTAGACTGTGGCAGACCGAGCCACCTAGGCACATTGGGGTTTCGAGCTTTGTTTCAAACAAACGAAGTGGAGAGTGAATGGGACGCCACCAGGTGAGCAGGAGATCACAAGCTGGTTGTGAGCAAACTCCCTTACCATCAGCAGTGATTCAACATTGTGGTTTCTAAGGTTTGAAGTAGGCTGTTTAATGAGGGAAATCTTTTTTTTTATTTCCAAGTTTATTAAAATAAAACCTGTAAAGCTTTGTGCAGACATATCTTTTTTCTCATTTTAGGTGTACGGGTGTTTTGCATGTGTGTATGTCTGTGTACCCGTTGCTTACCTAACCTGCTGAGCCCAGAAGGGGTGTCAGATCCCTGAAGCAGTTCCAAAGGGTTGGGAGCCTCCCTACCTGGAGGGTTTGGGGTACATGTTTCAATAAGTAACATTTATGTTTTATTTGCTATGGGGAGATTCTTGAGTTCTTTCAGGATGTTGTTCCAGAATCGGGCTAACAAAGGATCCCGGGCTATTTGGGATTTTCTGCCTTCTTTCTTTCCCTTTTGTGCCCTGTTGGTTCTGGCAGGTTTCACTGTATCATGGAAGTTTTCTAACTGTAGTTTGGAAAAATAGGTACAGTTAACAAAAGCCACATAAATGCATTGTGTTTTGTACATGAATACCATCCCATAGTCCAGTGCCACTAAAATGTGATTATGTCACAAAACGAGATACGGTATCGCCCCTTCTCACCTATTGACCTCATGTCTAATGCAATTAAAATCATCTGGGCTCTTTTTCTTTCTTCATTTTCTCTGCATAGAACATTTCTAAGTTTATTAATTCAGAATTATAGAAAGTTTTAAAACCTTTAATCACATGTGAGAGTTAATTTATCAAGTGTGCTTTCATAATCTTTTTAATTAAAATACAATTGCATCATTCTCCGTCTTCCCTTTTCTCTCTCCAACCCTACTTGTGTGTCCACCTCACTCCCTCTCAAATCCATGCACTCCTTTTAAAATTGTTGTTGTTACATGTGTACACGCATACAACATACATAAAAACAACCACTAAGTCTGCTTGCTATATGATTGTGTATATTCTTTCAGGGCTGGCCACTTGGTACTGGATAAGTAATCTGGGAGGTCATCCCTGGGGAAGACTAACCCCCCTTCTCAGCAGTTCTTAGTGTCTAGCTCTTTGTCTAGGGGTGGGATCCTGAGAGTACCCCTTGCATGTTAGTGTCTCTGTTGGTGCTCCCTCGTTCAGGTCTTGTCATGTAGTGATAAGAGCGGCGGGCTACATTCCAGCACCCGGCCGCCCGCACGGCTAGCTTTACCCGAAATAATTACACGGAAACTGTATTCTTTTAATCACTGCTTGGCCCTTTAGCTCTAGTCCTTACTGGCTAATTCTGATATCCCGATCAACCCATCTCTAATAATCTGTGAGCACCGGTCTTACCGGGAAGATTCTAGCCTACGTCCATCCTGGGTCTGAGCTTCATCGCGTGTGTCTGCCCGGGAGCGGGGCATGACGTCTCTCTGAGGCGCCTGCTCCCAAGAGGAGAGCTGTTGAGTCTGAGCTCACTTCCTCTTCCTCCCAGCATTCTGTTCTGTTTACTCCTCCCACCTATGTTTTAACCTATGAGGGCCAGCAAAGCAGTTTCTTTATTTTTTTAACCAATGACCTTCCTCCATCATTTCCCCTTTTTCTGTTTAAACAAAAAGAAAGGAAGGCTTTAACATAGCAAAATTACATATAACAAAACAGTTATCAAGCAAGAATTACAGTTACAATATTTATATCTATTTTATCTTTTATCATAACAATGGAAAACTATAACTATAACTATCTATCTATTCTGCAACTCCATCAAAGACTCCAGAAGAATACAATATTACCTAAGCAAACAAAAAGTAAACAACTTTTAAAACTCTAGAAATGACAGAGACATCTCGCTGCCTGTACAGTCACCCAAGGTTCCTCTGTACCGTTGGGGCATCCATCTTCAGCCTACAGGCCCATAGTTTCCAGCAGACATTTCCACAAAGCAGGAAATTTCAAAGGCAGTCACTATCTGCTTGTCCTGAAGAATGTCTTGCAGACTCTTTCATGAAGCAGGAACCCCGAAAGATCATCTCACCTTTAGGCAAGTTTAGCAGTCCTCTCTCTGCAGGTTCTCTGTGTCCAGTTTATGCAATAGTTCAGGCAAGAGCAGTTTCTTGCCCAAATGGCTATCAAACTCCATAAGGATCCTCTTCGATGCCCATCTTCCTCTTGAAGTAGATTGGTGCTGCCAGGAGCAGAGTGTCTCATTGTCATGAAAAGTCCTAAGTTATTAAAACATTAAATGCCATATTCTGCAGTCTTTAAAAGATATGAAGAATGTCTATCTAACTGAAATGTATCTCTGTATATCTAGAAAATCTAAGTAACATGACTACAAACTTGACTATTATTTATGATTATCCATCAACAACCTATATTTCCTAATTATACATTACATTTTAAAAATGAACTGCACAATCACAATACCTTAATCAAGATCAGAAATACATATACATATAACAAAATTGACCTTAAAACCCATACCAATGCAAATTATTCATACCTATATCATTTCCCCCTTTAAATGTAAAAGAACATTTATAAACAATATTTTGGGAACATGGGCGCAGTTTTTTCTCTCCAAACTGCTTCCTGCTGAATAGGGGCGCTGTTAATCATATGGGGTAACCTGTGTGCCAGGGTCATCTCAGTTGGCAGTTGAGCAAAGCAATTTTTTGAAGATGTTCACGGCAACCCTTCAGGAGGGAGGGCGTGGTCCATCATACCATATCGGAATAGAAGAAATGAACAGGGTCTCATCCTCTGTGAAAACAAAATAAGAAACTCCTTTCCAAAGCATCATGTCCTTAGATCCAAATTTCAAATTCAAGGCATTTTCAAAATATCTATGTTGGATTAGTTCAGCAGCATTTTTAAACAAATATCTTTTGGCATCTGTTGCTCCTTCCTCAGCATTCAAACAATTCAAAGAGAGCATAATAGCATACAGTATCAAAATTCTCTGTCTATTTTCCATCTTTGTACAGCTTTGTTTTAACCTCTATTTCGTTTATTTTAACTTTTTGCTTTTTGAGACAGGTTCTCTGTATCTTTGACCTAGAATAACTCTGTAGACCAGGCTGTCCTTGAACTCTCAGAGATCCGCCTGTCTCTGCCTCCCAGGCATTGGGATTAAAGGTGTACACTACTACACCTTGAACTCACAGAGATCTGTTTGTCTCTGCCTTCTAGGCACTGGGATTAAAGGCGTGTGCTACCACACCTTGAAGTCACTGAGGTCAATCTCCCTCTGCCTCCCAAGTGTTGGGATTAATGGTGTGTACTACCACACCCAACTACTCTCTTTCTTCCTTATTTTTATTTTTTACTTTAAGAATTTTAACTTTTAGTCTGCATATATTTTAACACTGTAAATCATTTAAAATTTTTTTTGACTTTGAATCTTTCTTTTACTGTATATGTCTCTTTTTTGACCACATGAGTCCTTAATTTAGCAAGCAATATCAGTAGGATTAAAGCCGTGGCTTTGATGGCTAGATCCAGCCCATTCATTAGCTTTCCAGCCTCATGGCTGAGGTACTGGCTGTAGCCATGTTTATAGCCACAACTCTATGGCATTTCAAGGTCCCTGCCAGCAAGCGAGCTTCAGCAGCCTGTGCTTGCAAACTGCACGAACCGCCTGCGTAAAAGAGTCAGAGTTTTCCCTGGCAGGACAGCCTAGAAAACCAGCATTTTTAAACGGCACAGGTTTTTCCTGCTACGGCTGAAAACCAAAAAGCATGCATTCAGCTTTTCATCAACACCGTTTAAGTGTTTCGTGGCAGGACCTCTTAAGAGCTGCAGGGTTTTGCAGCTGAAGCTGAGTCAGGAAGCCTCTATTAAATTGCAGCTACCAAGAAAACATGCTCTTCTCTTTCCCAAGCTTTCTCAGGCTTTCAGTGGATTCAGTTGTCCACACATCTGGGCGCCATTTATAGTGATAAGAGCGGTGAGCTACGTTCCGGCACCCGGCCACCCACACGGCTAGCTTTACCCGAAATAATTACATGGAAACTGTATTCTTTTAATCACTGCTTGGCCCTTTAGCTCTAGCCCTTACTGGCTAATTCTGATATCCCGATCAACCCATCTCTAATAATCTGTGAGCACCGGTCTTACCGGGAAGATTCTAGCCTGCCTCCATCCTGAGTCTGAGCTTCATTGCGTGTGTCTGCCCGGGAGCAGGGCTTGGCGTCTCTCTAAGGTGTCTGCTCCCAAGAGGAGAGCTGTCGAGTCTGAGCTCACTTCCTCTTCCTCCCAGCATTCTGTTCTGTTTACTCCTCCCACCTATGTTTTAACCTATGAGGGCCAGCCAAGCAGTTTCTTTATTTTTTTAACCAATGAACCTTCCTCCATCAATGTCGTTGCAGTAACATGGGTGCAGCTGCCCTGGCATTTCAGGAGACCCCGTCTCAGCGGGTGTCCTAGCCTCTGGCTCTCACTACCTCGCTCTCTTTTCTTCCTCTGTCTCCCCAGACTGCTAGGTGCAGGAACCTCTTGAAGAGGTGTCCGCTAGGGCTGAGAACCTTGCCATTACTGTTCTCTACATTTTTACCTGTTGTGGTTTTCTGTAATGGGCTCCATCTACTTCAAAGAGAAGCATCTTTGATGGGGACTGAGAGCTACACTTTCCTGTGGGTCTGAGGGTGAGTATTAAAATGAAGTTGGGAATTATGCTGCCCTAGTTAAGTGGTAATGGTAGTTCTCCCCCAAGACCCATGACCTCACTAGCCCTGGGTAGTTAGCTAGGTTTCCGCCACCAGGCATGCTCTCCTTCCTGTTGAGGGGACCTCAAGTCTCCTGAGAATGCTGTTGATCACTGCCAAGAAAGGTGCCACTACTGCACCTGTCTGGGGCACCTTGCAGAGCTGGTCGTTGCTGTGGTTGATAGGTGTCTCAGCTAGCTAGGATTATTGGTTACCCCCCTCACTTGGCAGTCTACATGGCATTAAAGCTAGTCCTCAGTGATGAGGTCTTTGGGTCTGATCACGTTAGAATCTTCTGAGTCCCATATTCAAAGTACATGGTGTCTTCAGCCATAGGGCCTTACTTCAACACCTGGGTGGCAACTGAAGGCAATGCAATAATAGCTGATTATTTCCGGAGTCTCCTGGACTCCCCTGACCAATAGCTTGAAAGGGGGTCCTTCAT